GGCATCATTAAATATACCACAACATTGTTTTGCTGTCCGTTATTAAGGACTAGAAGGTAAAAAGACAATGAAGTGAAAACAAGGTTAAGAAGAAAAAACTAATAAAAAAGAAAATGAAGTGAAACATATAAAATAGAAAATAATAATAATAAAAAACACACACTAGCCCACACCACATTTTTACTTAAGAAAGCCTGTGCTAATTAATCCATAGCATTTTTGTCTTCTATGTAATCCACAATTGAGTATACAACCAACCCAACCCGTCTGGCCAGCGTGGTATAGTAGGCCAAAACCTCCTTTCTAAGGAGAGGCTATGTCCAGCAGTGGACTAGTAAAGGCTGTTGATGAGTAATAGGCTGTCCGACACAATTCACGTTTTATTGCGGATTTAAATTTGTTAATACACAGATTTTATTACAAAATCGGACACATTGACCTCGAAGACTTGTTTATCTTTTGGAGTCTAGAGGCGGGTAGTACATGTTTACTTCTATTTGTGGTATTTTTAGAATGTCTATCACTTCTTTTCAAAAAGCTATCTTAATTTTTATAAACATGTATTACATTTTCATATATATATATTAGTGATGTGCCGGATCGTTAACAAAGTATATCCGCGGATACGGATCCGAATACGGATACTTGGTGTCAAGATCCGCGGATACGGATACGGATACGGATCTTAAGTTTCTTACTCAATCGGAGCCCGTGACCTTGATAGTTGTCGCCACTTGACGTTTTGCCGTTGATATTTAAATATTTCATTATTTTAATAAACTAATACAAAGATATTTGATTGATCTCATTATAAAGATGGCTCTTTCAGTACCTACGACCTGCCTAGTTGATTTAGTGTAGTACGATAAATTATTGCAATACAAAGGTGCCAAATATTTGTTTTAAGAAAAAAAAGTAATCTGAACAGAATTCAATAGTTTTTCATAGCTACCTAATAACCATTATTCAGGGTTATTTTAAATTTACTGAAAACCTCTGAAGTGCACATTAATAACATTATAAACAACAACTTTTCTTTTGGACTAACACTGAAAACGAAAGAAAAAAAAATTGTTTCTCCATACAAACTAACAACATTTGATTGGTCATTTGAATAGAGGACCAATTATTTTTTATTTTGACGTTGGGCAGAAAAAAGTTGCTGTTTATAGTGTTACAAACACATACCTAAGAGTTTTACAGTGAATACAAAATCACCTATATAGAATTTCATCTATGTAATATGTATTGAAAGAGCCGCCAAAAAAGTCACGGATACGGATACGGTTACGGATCTCTCTTCTCCCTTGGATATCCGCGGATACGGATATCCGGCACATCACTAATATATATATATATTGAATTGCCACTTTCATTGTGTTTATTTCTTTAAATTTCTGCCTCAATGAACAACTATTACCTAAATTATAAACAGCTCGAACCGCTCGCTTTTGCAGTACAAAAATAGTTAGAATGTCGGCAGCATTCCCCCAAAGTAGAATACCGTATAACTAGCGGCACGTAAGTCTAGCGCTGAGCGGAACGTGGAAGGGATAGCCGCGCATGGGTACTATCGCGCACGCAAATATTAACTTTAGTAAATAGTTAATGTTATAGAGTGTAACTTCTGAAAGTTGTTCACTTGCCAGAGTCGTCAAATTTGAATTTCTTTATTTTCTCAACAATAGGTACAAAAGGTAAGTAAGTAATCATACTATATAACATTATAAATGTGAATGTAAGTTTGTTTGTTACGCTTTCACGTGAAAACTACTTAACCGATCATCATGAAACTTTGTACACATATTCTTGGAGGTTTTAGAAGTAACATATGATACTTTTTATTAAAATAATATTTTTTACGAAAGATAAAACTGCGAGCGAAGCCGCGGGTAAAGGCTATAAGAATATATACAGACAGTTATTGTGCTTGTAGGAGATGGGAGCCTGCACTGGGTTGAACCAGTATTATTGGTCTCCATGTGTATTAACATTTAAATCTTAAGTAGTAGTAATAAACGTGTATGTTAAAAAAAAAATGTACTTTGTTTGTGCGTGTGCGTGGTGTGCGTGCGTATGTATGCGTGAGTGTATGTGTATGTCATTATTATAGTTTATAGTTCCAATATCCAAAAAAAATATGTTACCCAGGATTTTTAACAACTTTATAGGAAGTAGAAAAATTAAAACAGAATTTGTTGAACTATAATTATATGCAATTCACTTTGTGAAAGTTTTCAACTTAGCAGTTTATTATCTAAACAATGATGCTTGATTTGTCGCATTAAATACCACAACGCAGTCCTTTCCCTACCACAACATACGACTGTAACGTTAAATAATTTTAAAACGCTTTTTTTATGTCTTCTGTTCCCAGCTGCAACCTGCATTGTCTTTAAATGAGTATTGTATTTATTGCAACAAAAATTAACAGCGATAACAATATAACTCAGAACGCGACTGTACTCTGGAAGCAAGCGGCGTGTCGTATCAGTGCGGGGGACGTAATGCGACTGGAGAGCCAATCGGCGCTACGCACGCCCGCCCTTCGTCCCTCTTACCCCAAAAAGTACCTGATTTTTGACTTCTGCGCAGTAACTGTCACCGCTAGAGTTTCGTGCCGCTACTTATACGACATTATGATATGAAAATAACTGAAGTAAACAAGTAGTGCTGTATCAACATCAGACAACTCTCGAATTTTTCTTACTGCGTATGCTGCTGAACTGAGTCTACTCGATAATTTATCAATATGTATAGTATAGTAGAAAAGACTAGGGGTGTGTTGCGTTGCAGCCCGGCCACAGTCGATTTCGTAATTTATAAACGTATTAATTAAATGTTCTTTTATTGTTCTTGCTGTACCAATTAAAAGATTAAATGTACCACAAATATATCTTGTTTAAAAAGAAATTGTTTGTGGCCGGGCTGCACCGTATACGTTGCAGCCTGGCCACCTGTATATTTTCTGGTTGGATGCTCAAAATGTTCTAAAATATAAACCAAATAAATGTTCTTTATTTTTTTCAATGAAATAAAAAATTACTTAAAATGAATGAATAGTCACTAAGCGCCTGTAGAACAAGAATAGCACGTCGGCTTTGTTAATTTTTATTTTTCTAGAATCAGCTGAATCGGACTTTCCCTGGCAGATAGCTGATGACATAAGGAGTAACTTAGGCTACTTTTTTTAGAGCTTCGCTCCGCGGCGTTGCCCGCGGTTATAACAACAAACGCGGGTAACACCGCGGGTCTCAGCTAGTGTATTATATAAAAAGAAGAAACTATGAAAATATAACATTAATTTGAAAATACTATTTAAAATACATAGACGAATACATAAATAACTATTAATATATGTATATTATACACTAACAAGATAGATTATTATTATTATACAATTATTAAAAACCCTTATAAACAAGATATATTTGTGGTACATTTAATCTATTAATTGGTACAGCAAGAACAATAAAAGAACATTTAATTGATACGTCTATAAATTACGAAATCGACTGTGGCCGGGCTGCAACGGAACACACAGACTAGGGTGAATAAGTGTCTTGGGTCGGCGTGTACTATCTTCGTCTTCTTAGTTACTTTTCACTATGGAGGGTATAGAGTGTAGAGGTAAGGAGAACCGTCTGTGTATGAAAACTGTCAAAATGCGATAGGTTGGAGGCGCTACAGTAGCATCAGGATAAACTTTTAGAGGAAGGGCCAAAAGTTGGTAGAGTAAGATGGAGAAATAAACATTGAAAGAAAAACATTGCATAAAATTTTTATTGGTTAAATATTAATTAGACTGTGAAAATAGTCAATGAGTTTTACAAACAAAAAATAAACGCGTAATAACTTTCAGACGCTAAAGACGGTATGAGATGGTTCTCCTTACCTCTATCCTCCATACTTTTCACTATTGGAACTGGTATTCAAACATCTATACCATTTTCTAATAAAAATTAAAACCCACAATATTGTTTTATATATTCACTGTCGTTCGTCGCTAGACGATGTAGGTGGTTGTTATTCTAAATTTTATTAGGCCGTGGCACGATTGTTGCGGATACGGAAAAGTTCAAGTCATGAAACGCCCCTCTATATAAATATACATGTCCAATATTTCTAGAAGCACTGACTGACTGGTCTTGCAGCGGACTGCAATCGAACCAAGACCGTCGCGCCGGTGCGTAGACCGTTTATGCTGCGGCGAGCCGCATCATAACCAGCCGCAGATGCATTTAAGCCTTACAGGTTGTATAATACAAAATAACAATAAATTAATTATCATTTATTTCGTTCTCATTAATTAAACATCTTAATAATAAAACGCACGGAGGTTAAGTGTAAGTATTCAATAGAAAATACCATAAAAGTAATAATTTATACAAATAACGGTAAATCTACAGAAAAACCATTAAAAACGATGTCAAAGGGATCAGAAAATACGCAAATTTATATCAGTTTCTGCAACTTGATACATTTTCATACATTTTGTCACGCCTAACATACGCGTGAAATATTAATTCAATCGAATGACCAAGAGAGTGAGCTTCAATTTAGTCAAACGCTCAGATATTCTCTTCACCTTTTTTTCATCATATTAAGTGATTAGGTACTTTAAGTAATGTCACTATTAAAAATAAACAATATATATATATATAAGAGATTTCCACGTATATAGTCACTCATCACGATATCTCTGGAACCATTACAGCTAGACTTTAAATTTAGTAGGAATATTCTTTTCAACGAGTAGACGTCAGCTAAGAACGGATTTTAAGAAATTAAAAAAAGAATGTAAATAGCAAAACAACGTTTGCAGGGTCATCTAGTATATCATATAATTCAAACCCTACTAAAAATAAAATACTGCATATCACGTTTTATTTTCCCTATCCGTGTTGCCACATGGTTTCTCATTTAAGACGTGTTTTTGGCTGACTCCCTTTGCCATCGTCTTGGTTATACTGGATGAAATTAGCATACACTACTGTAAATTAATGTTTCTCTAAAGCTTTAACAAGTAGATCATTTATGTGTGTGACAAGACCTCTAGGGTCCATTGTGAGTCCTGCAGTGATCATTGCATTGGCAAATAGTTGCTGCGCGACCATGTCGGCTAATTCCTTATCGGATGTAAGCAGTTTGTGTAGTTTCTTGATGATTGGATGTCTGAAAAAGCAAAGAATATGTTAAGAAATAACCACTCAATTCAAGGCCTTGCCTTTAAAAACATACGATATTGGATATTATCTTGCAAAAGTGATGATTGTAAATTGATTTAAGTAGACAGAACCGCGTACAAATTAAATTAATGGTGGAGTCAATGTTACAAGACTAAGGTAAAATGTAATAATGTGGTAAGGCTCATGTGGCGTTCACATTATATTCTTAAAGTCTTGTATTGTAACAAAATAGTATGTATTAGCGAATTTTGCTGATGAATATATTGAAAGATCTTGAGTGGCTCTAGAAGGTGATGCTGCAAAACATATTCTAGAGATTATATTTCAAAAATATTTTGTTTTCTTCCTTTCCTTTATTTTTGAAATTATTACACCACAAAACGCTAGCACTGGTCTATATATACACATACACACATATACACCATCAATTCCAAACTTTTATCATTGCTGATTGCATACCTATGCAGTCAGCAATGATAAAAGTTTGAAATTATTATGACTTGACTCAGCATATTTCTTAAATATAAGAAATTCTCAAGAAATATGCTGAGTCAAGTCATAATAAATCGTCGAATAATGAGAGCGAGGGACAGTGACGCAATAGCAGCGCACTGAGATTATTGCAAGAATTGACGATAAATAAATAACACTTACTTGGCATTTATTTCTAGATGTGGTCTCATTAGGGCGAATCTATTTTCCTCGCTAAGATTCTGCGCCTGAGTTCGAACGAAATGGCGAGCCGCTGCCATTTCTTGCACTGTTATCACACACGGATGTGTGTCTAATTTATTTGTAGTGCGGACTTCGAATACCCTACCGGCTAAAAATGTCTTCAGGAATGTGACCAGTTCGTCTATTTGAGTTTGCTGGAGAGAGTCGCTTCCTGTATAAAAGGTTAAATTCACTGTACGAGTCAAAGAAAGTAAATAGTAATAATACGTTACTTATTCCTATGTTCACTGCTATGTAGGCGAACACTAATTTTTCCTTTGTGAGAAGCATATCATGTGGGAACAGATAAAATGAAATAAATAAGTTACTGGATAAGTTATTACATAAGATACTTAGACGAATATTATAATATGTATCAAGAAAGATATTGGTTTCAAGATCTCAGTTTACATAATGTCATCATATTTAAAATTTTCTTAGAGGTCAGTAAATCATCATTGCCGAAAATACTCCAGAGCAGAAATACGATTACGAATAAGTTTGTGAATCTAGTCTACTTTGCCCCAAAAGCGTCAATAATTAGCATTGTAATCTAACTCTACAGAAAAAAAACATAACTTTTAACTGGTATGGGTAGGGCAGTTTTCGAATTTAAACTCAAAAACGGTTCTTTATGAATGGAAGTAAGGTTAGCTAGGTGAGACAGCCAATTTTTCTTCCAGAAGTATAGAAGCCTCTTGGGGATTTCGGAAGCTTCTAGAAGCGATTTTGTATTACTAACGTATCCTTAAAAGCAAATATATAAAACAAAATAGACAAATTTCAGGTAAATGGGTAGATGTAATTGTGAACTAACCAATAATGGTCTCGGCTTTGTCCGTCGAAGTTGTTTGCATATCATTTTCAACGGATATCAACTTTCGGTTGTTAAACTCTTTTAATTCCAGAAGTACAAGTTCATCGTACATCTCGTAGCAGAACAATACTTCTACATCACGTTTCTTCAGTGACTCATAGTAAGGTGAGTTTTCGGCTAACTCGCGACTGTGAAATACAAGAGGCTAATTAATAATATGCACGACTATTATATCGAAAGATGTGGTATTTGTAAAAGCAAAAACATTCTTTTTAAAAGTATGTGTAGATATTAATACGTGAAGAAATTGTTTGTATTCCTTTACAAACAAATATGGGTGTTTTATATTTGGAATACTTAATGTTTATAGGTATGTAGAAGATATATAGAGAAAGAAAGAAACAGAGAGTTCATAGAACCGTACAGTTCCAGAAACAGTTCAGTTTGAGCTACAGTGCGATAAATATCGAAGCGATCCGAGCGAACAGATGAGTAACCCAGCGACCTGGGCGATCATTCCGGACTATTATTTGGTATTGTTTGAACGTTCTTAAGTGTCAGAAGGGTATATAATTCCAAACCAGCGAACCCTAACACGTAATAATATGTACTTAAAGAAAGGGTACATAAAACTGTAGGGGTCCAGGTTATATTTTGATCTATCATGGTACAAAAGTCTATACAATAACAGTTCAAGTTATACTGGTATATGAAATTAAACATGAAATTGGAAAAGGTATACATTCGACTGGCGATGTGTATACAGCAGTACATACCTACACATACCATTTCATACAACATTGCCGTCTAAAATCAAGATAATATTAAGTTAACATATCGCACCCTCGGTGCAACAGTCACAACAGGTCATTTTGTAATTTTACAGGAACGGACTTTTAAGGTTTTTTTCGATCAATTTTCCTTTTTTCTAGATTACTACCTACAGCAGCCGGGATATCTCATTAAAATTATATTATTTGTTCTTTTAACTACAGTATCATGTAAAAAGATTTCTTTGATTTTATTAGAAAATTGAAAAAAAAAGGAAACAAAAAAAAAGTCGTAACTTGTGACTATGTCGCACCAGGTACAAATATAATTTAATTATTTGAGCGTTATAATGGCACTTTGTTATTTCAATATACGTGAATAAAAATTGACTTTAAGCCGGTGTAGCTCCAAGTCACGACTGACTCATGCGGGCGCGGGGTCACTACTTACCAATACTCTGTTACTCTGTTCTTCCAATATTCGTCGAAAAAGTAGCAAGAACGACAAAGGCACTAATGCCGTCTATCGATATATTCAAATAATTTCGCGGCTGTCTTTGATTTCCCAAACGAAGAAATGGTTTATAGACAATTTGGCATACTTAAGTCATTTTGGCAATTTTGCCTACTCGTGACTTTGTTGCACCGAGGGTGCGATATGAAAAGATACAAACCTGGGAGCTGCTAAATAATATATTGACTTGTTATCTGTTTGTCGAGTTATGTATTCGGAGAGTGATGTTCTTACACCATTCCCTAATTTGGAGGATTCAAATCTAAGAAGTTTAGCAATTTCTTCCTAAAAATAAACGAATAAAATTACATAGACATTGAGAAAAAATTAAATAAAATGAAAAAAATATATTTGGAAACACAAAGAAAATAAAATACAAAAGTGCTTAAGAAGACATAAAATAAGTGTAGCAGATCTTATCAGATAAATATTTAACGCGGTCCCCACACTAGGCAAACGTATTTACAACTAGCTGAGTTACGCGGTGTTACCCGCGTTTGTTGTTATAAAAATGTTATTTTGGCATATGTAGTGTGTAAACATACATTTGCATTTAGTAAAAAGCTGTTATTTTAATACACTCCAATTTTATTTATTTGTATAGAGTATAGATAAGGTATAGAACCATTTGTACATATACTTACTTTTTCTATGGGACTCTGACTAGTAACGATTCCTTCTTTTAAGAATACAGAGTAGTCTTTGTAAAAGGCTTGATAACTGACAGGGTCTTTCTGTGCGCTGTCTACCATGAATTTCAGGAATCGGTTAGTTAGCACACTTTTCAACTTCCTGGAAGAATATAAACTCATTACACTATTGAAAAAACAGCATCGTTAGAAGTGACATTTTATTAGAACAATGTTATATATACAAAAAAATATTAATTGTCTTTTGTAATAATATGACTCTTGATGTTGACAGTTAGTTTGTTATGATGTAAGTTGTTTTTTTATTGAATTTAATGTTTTCTGCATGCTTTCGTTTTTTTCTGCAACATCTATGGACCCTGGACAAAGTTCTACACATCCTGAAGCATTTATATATCTATACTAATATTATAAAGCTGAAGAGTTTGTTTGTTTGTTTGTTTGTTTGTTTGTTTGAACGCGATAATCTCAGGAACTTCTGGTCCGATTTGAAAAATTCTTTCAGTGTTAGATAGCCCATTTATCGAGGAAGGCTATAGGCTATATATCATCACGCTAAGACCAATAGGAGCGGAGCACCAATGAAGAATGTTTCAAAAAACGGAGAAAATTTATTACTATTGAGAGACGCAGACGAAGTTGCGCCGGTCAGCTAGTATTTTATAAAATATAAAAAATATTTTCATTAGATGTGGCATTTTTTGACTTCTAAATATCAAAAGGCGCAAACCCAAATAATATAGTTTTACTTAAAAGAGTTTGAGGACGAAACCAGCCAAAAAAAATTTAAAATTCTTACTCTGGCACCTGCTGTTTTAATTTGTATGCCTAATGTGTCGACCTAAATATACTATTCTTGAGTTGCAATAAAATAGCACACTTACGTAATTAGAGCATTGTTTTGCAACAATTCTCTGCTAAGATTCAATGGAATATCTTCAGAATCTACCACTCCTAGAATACAAAAAAGTATAATTAGAACAAATTTTGAAAAAATATTCAAATTAATACAACTTTAATTTCATGTTCTAGTCCTTCTGCTAGGTAGAATGATATGAGTATAATTTTTCAGGTTTTCATCTTTAAAATTTTAAAACTGTGACTTCTATTTAAAACTGGTGGTTTCGGTGGTTTGTTATTGCTTTTAGTGTCTAGTGAATTTTTATAGTGGTCTGGTAGTAAAAGTAAGATTGTAGAGGACTTGGAAAGTCGAGTGGAGTGTGTGGAGTTGAAAAGATGAACTGTGAGAACTGGTTATGTAGGCAAACCCCAAGAACCTTTAATAGGAAAGGAAAGATGGAGATTGGAGAAAGGGGAAGGTTTCGGAATCGAGAATTATATTATATATATATATAATTATATTATATATATCTATTGTTTTCCTTTGTAACTAAAAAATATTTAGTGGAAAATTGAGCCATTATTAGAGAAGGGCCGGGCCGTTTTTATTTAATGGTTTTTTGGTGGTTATAGATGTTGAATCTGGTGGAGAGTTAATTTAACGGTTGGCAATACTGGTTTAGTAGTGCACTTTAGTTTAGTATTTTACAGTAAATAGTCTAAGAGACGGCTGCAAGATTCTCATGTTTTATGTACTTTTAACAAAAATCTAATAAATATAATTATTAATACATTTTGGCGTTGTTGCTTTTTTGAATATATCAATTAATATTATTTTAATTAGAATATACTAATAGCAGTCACATTTTAATAAAAACCCAACCAAAATTTATTCCCGTATTTGTAATTATATTTATACAAGCATTAGACTTTGATTAAATACGATAAGAATGTTGCATGCACATCTCGTACTGAAAATACTGTGAATAAAATAAGTAGGTAGTAGTAAAAAAAGTTTTTTTAACTTACCTTTGACGAATCGTAACCATTTAGGCAAAAGGTTATCCGCCTTACTCTTGATCAATATTTTTCTAGAGTAGAGGGCTACCCCTACATCAGAGTCCCGAGATAGTTCAAACAGTCCTGGTTTACCCTCTGGCACATACAGTACAGACCTGATGCTTAAAGGCGCATCAGTTTTGTAATGTAACGTAAATCTAGGTTTATCATATGAATTGCTAATGAACCTGTAGAACTCAATGTGTTGTTCTTGAGATACTTCTTTTGGTTCCATTAACCAGAGGGGCTGTAAAAATAATCATTTTAGTGTACAAATAATAAATTTATAGTTAAAGTAGTGTTAGGTGAACAAGAATCTGTAAACTGAGTGATTAAAATGTTGTGACTACATGCAAGAAACACACACAGTGTATTATTTTACTGACATATTGTTTTACAAACCCTCATGTGCTTTTTTACAAAACTTGGTTACGAGTTACGAAATGATAGCTTGCTTAATTCAAACTGTCGAAATTTATGAGCAGCTTGCAAGCGGCATGCAATGCAAATTCAGCAAGCATGCATCTCTCAAGTCCCTCACTTCTAGTCTTAATCTCTAGAAGACAAAAAAAAAAGTCTCCTAAAAAAGACAACTTCCGCATTATAAATACATCCTGTGTCGCAAGGGACTTTACAAACATTAGTTTGGTATTGCCTTCATTACTGCACTAACACAAGTTAAAACTTTAAGGTGACCTCTTAATCTTAAGTAAGTCCTAATTAAACTCAACATTTACTAAAAGGCGAGGTTAGACGAGAATTAGATGCAAATAAATAGACGTGCCAGTTGGTCTAGAGGTTAGTGACGCTGACTGCTAAACCAGACGTCATGGGTTCGATTTCCACCCATGACAAGTATTGTGTGATGAGCATGATCATTTGCTCTGTGTTTGGGTGTAAATTATGTATAATGTGTATGTATTTAGAATTATATAAGTATGTTTATCAGCAGTCTGCTCATCATGGTACAGGCTCTGCCTACTTTGGGATCAGATGGCCGTGTGTGAGATGTGTGAAGTTATATAAGTGGTGCAAAACCCTTAGTGAGGTAGATGATACTACATATCAGGGTTGTTGCTGAATCAGGTTTTTACTGTGTCAGCAGATGCTAATGCTGATTTTTTCAGATCAATATTAGCAATGTTACAAACAATGTTAATAATCCGCAGATGCAGATACCGATATTTGCAACAACCCTGCTACATATGTGTCTTTCTATCTTTACCTTAATGGAGTTGATTTGCTCATCGTTTAAGAAGATAGGACTACTAACAAAGTTGCTGTATTTTTTTACAATATCTGAAAATTATGAAAATTATTATTAATAATTATAAATACTAAATTAGATGTTCATATCTTTTAATATTAATTTTTTGTCATTTCCAAGTACATTTAACTACCTACTTACGCATTCTGTCACCCTTTTGGTGAATTAATGTATGGCTCTTAGTTTTATATTAGTTAATACCAACCATTTAATTACCAAGATTATATTTCTTGTTATCTTTTGACCTGCAGTTCAAAAGTTATAACTGTAAACATGTTAAACCTTTCCTGTTTTATATTGGGGTTTAAAAGTCCCTTATTGCAAAAGCTTGCTTTCTTTTCTGTCTTATAAATTTTGGTCAGTACAAACTAGAAAGGTGGTTTAGTTGTCGTTGGAATAATAATAATTTACATACTTTGGACAACTTCATCATCGGCATATTCCCTGCAATCTGTTTTAAGGGAGATAACTATTTTAGTACCAATGGGTACTCCATCAGCCTCTTGGATTTCATAAGTACCAGACCTGAAAAATATTGCCAGTTGTACCAGTGCATACAATTACAAATTAACCGTAGAAAGATAAAATAGTATTACATGCAAGAATGTTTTAAGATATAACTATTTTAAGATAATCTTTAATAATCCCAACATTACTTTAAAAGCTTACCCATCAGAAGACCACTTGTATCCTTGTGAGCCTGCCTTGCTACTTCTAGTGTAAACTTCAATCTTATCTGCGACCATGAATGCAGAATAAAAGCCAACACCAAACTGTCCTATAATAGAGTTAGCTTGTTCTGCACCCTTCTTCTTGATTTCTTCAATGAAAGACTTGGAGCCTGAACGAGCTATAGTGCCCAGATTTTCAGTAAGCTCCTCTTTTGTCATGCCTATACCTGTATCCTAAAAATTACAATACCATCAAGAGTGTTTTCGTAATATCTTGTAAACAATTAGTGGAATAAAAACTCTGGCATTTTCTTCTTTCTACTTAGAAAGACCCAACAAATAATGATTTTCTGAATTAATATTTTTAATGTACACCTTAATACCTGGAATGTAAGTGTCCTATTTTGCTTGTCAGGAATGAGCCTAATTTCTAAAGGTCTATCCAGTTCTTCCAGCTGGCTTGATTCTGAGGCACCACTGACACTTAAATAGCGGAACTTCTCTAAAGCATCACTTGCATTTGATATTAACTCTCGAATGAAAACCTGTTAAAAATAAATATCATTTTTATTAAGATAATAAAGATTCTAATTCTACTATTAGTTTGGCTGGTTTTTGCTATCCCAACTAGATTTGATGAAGCACTTAAAATAACTGAAATATCACAGGTTCAATTCTAATTATATATTTTATAAATAAATAAATATATGTTGTTAATTACTCCCTGTCCACACACTTTTCTGATTGATTGTGACAACCTTATAAAATAGCTTAGTACATGATTTATATGATAGATGGAGAGATGTATACACACAAAATGACCTAACCCTGACATATTACATACTACTCCACCAGCTACACTTTTAGCATTAAAAATGAGTAGGTAGTGTGTAATTTTTATTCTCTTCTTTTGTTCCGCAACACATCAACTCATGTTGGTGTACAAGATGGGAAATTAATAAATTATTCTTACTTATATATAGAAATAAAATTTTAAGAATCAGAAGGATGTGTTAAAGAACATTAAATACCTCTTTATCTGAATACAGTGATCTCGCAACAATATCTAAAAGCATTCGGGTTTCAGCCTGAAATTCCCTCCTTTCTGTTGGTCCCTTAACAGTCTCCTTTTCAGCTTGTTTCTTTTCTGTTTCATTTTTTGCGATTTCTGGGTTAAATTTTTGCTCTTCTGTTGCAGCACTATAATACCTGCTCTGTTGGTAAGTTTGTAGACAACTTCCTACAATTTACAAATAATATCTTTAACCTAAACCATAACTTTTAAAAAGTCATATTCTTGATAATAAAAATATTGTGAATCACTGTAAGAATACGTACCAATTAGGTTTTTGGGTGCTATTTGACTAGTGGAAATGCATTTGGCATTATTGATTGAGTTTAATAATAACCTTTTTGCGATTAATCTAGTACCCAATTTTACTCGCAAAGCTAACATTATGATGTTTTCAGAGTGTAAAGATAGGTAAAATAATTTATTTCAGTAATAATTTCGGTGTTTCGGCAATTGTTTCAACAAATTTGCCAATAAAAGTTCACACATGCGTCAAATGTCATTGGTTGTCAATTATGTCAAGTTTTGGAAAGTATAAAATAGGCACAGGCAGGATTGCACTCATTAACATTTTCAATCTTGTTATCCATTGTCTCAGGTTTTTAGATTGTTTCGAATTTCGAGTCAAGGTTCAATGAGTCTAGCGAAGTCGATTCTAGCCAAATGCAATACAGGCAAAATTTATCGTTGATTGGAACCATCTACCACCGAATCAATTCCCTAATATTTTTACAATAATCATTGATAATAATATGTACTTTTCGATATATCATCAATATCATGGATACCCTTTTTTTTTTTTTTTTTTTTTTTTTTTTTTTTTTTCCGTGCGGAAATCCCCTCGGATACCACCTGTCGGTGGCATGTCGGACTCGAACCGACTAAAACCGCACGCCTTCGCCGGGTACTAATAGCCGGGGAACCAGGTATACCCTAGAAAGGAAGGCCCTGGTGCCCCGACATACCTCGGGTCATCTACAGACGAGTAGACGACCCCCGCCCCGTGTGGGAACCCCATGTTCCCTGTGCTCCCTGGAAGCGAGCGCGCTTCGCAACGCGCTCGCCGCCACCCCGGCCTGCTTCTGCTAGGGTGACAGATGGCCTCACCTGTCACCCCCAGGCCTGCGCTTATGGAGGACGGAGGTCGTTCTGCGACCTCCGGCGCCTGAGTCGCCTGCGCTGCCTGGCCCGTGCCCGGGCCTGGCGGGCCGGGAGAGTTCTAAACCTCTCCCGGTCCCGCTCCGCCGTCTCCTTCGCGAGCATAACTTGCTCGCAGAAGGAGACGGCAGAGTTCCACGCACTCTCGCTCCGCACGATAGCCGCAATCAGGCTATCGAGCGAGAGAACTCCCACTCCGATGGCCGCCACGAGGTCTCGCCTCTGCTCAACCCACGCCGGGCACTCTGCCAGCGTGTGGAGAGCCGTGTCCACGGTCTGGCCATCGCAGTGGTGGCACTCAGGCGTTGGCTCCTTGCGGATCAGACACAGGTGATCTCCGAAACATCCCTTCCCAGTGATCACCTGCGTCAATCGGTATGAGAGGGTCCCGTGACGCCTCTCGAGCCAATCCTCCATAACGGGTCTTACCGCCGCAATGACGGCGTGCCCGGCGCTCGGTTGCCCGAGTCGTTCCCTCCACTCCCCTATGATGACCTGGCGGAGTTGGGATTTCCGGTCATCGATTTCTCGAATCTCGGGGTATCGACCCAACTCCTGCGCCTCCTTGCGCCACTGATACAGTGCTGCAAGGGCTCTCGCCTCCAGGTCCCACGGTGGAGTTCCGGCCAGGAGACTCGCCGCCTCGAAGGAGATCGTGCGGTACCCCCTTATGATCCTGATGGCCAGCATTCGCTGCGGTCGCCGCAGTATCGCGACGTTGCTGGCCTTCAGGGCCCCCGCCCAATATCATGGATACCCTAATATATTTTTGTAAATCTTAGTGTATATTTTATTATTTTGTTTTGTAAATCTAGATGTTTCTAGCTAAATCTGTTACGTTCAGAGATATTTTTTTACATTTAGACTAGCTTTTAGGCTCTGCCTGCGTATACGTTACTCGCTGATAATGTACTCCACTCTCGCTGATAACTCCATTGGTGAAAAATAAATAAAAATTGTTTTAGTGGTTAAGGCGTGAAACTGTAACGAACAAACAAACGTACTTTCACATTTATAATGTAAGTATGGATAATGCAGTAGGAGACAGTTTTTGAAATGAGTGTTTAGGGATTTGATTTGAGTATAAAAGTATACTCGTATCATTGACTTTATTAAACATTTTGTTTGGAAAACTCAAACTTTGAGTATAAGTAGCAACAATCAATACACACAATAGCAACAATCTGTTTTTTTTCAAATCTTTAGAAAAATGACGTTGATCCTTATTGGAAGAAAGGACAACCAAACTCACGGCCACTCTTTTTCAATTACAGCTAGATAAAGCCGCGTATAAATATATCACAACATTATACTGATGTGTGCGCCAGTATGCCAGTTGTTAAGTACTAAAAGCAACGAAGCCTAAACAAGATAAAGAAAAGAGATGGAATAGAATTGCAAGTAAAGTAAAACATAAAGATGAGAAAAAAAACACACTAGCCCACACTACATTTTTTAAGTTAAGAAATAGACTGTGCTAAATTAATTCCAAGCATTCTTGTCTTCCATTTAATCCACAATCGAATAATAAGCCTCACACAGCCTATGCTTCACTGTGGACTTAAATTTATTTATACTTAAGTCTTGTATTGTATTTGAAAGTGAAAAAAAAAATTGGAAAAAATTAGACACATTGACCTAAAAATGGTTTGTTTATTTTTTTGAGCTTACAGGCAGGTATAACAAGCTTATTTCTATTTCTGGTATTTAAAGCATTACATCACTTCTTTTAAAGAAGCCACCTTTTAAGAACATATACTACAATTTCAAATATACATTGACATGCCACTGTCATTTTATTTATTTCTTTAAATTTCTGCCACAACGAAAAACGATTGCATAGATTGTAAATTAATCAAATCACTCTCTTTTGCAGCACAAAAATAGTTTAAATGTTGGCAGCATTCCCCCTCAGTAAAATACCGTACAACAATATGCTATGAAAATAACTGAAATAAACAGGTTGTACTATTTTAATATCAGTCAATTTTTTGACTTAACTTACTGTGTGCTGTCTTCTCGATGATTTATTAATGTGTCGGCCCCACTGTAGCTTAGAATCTAGTGTCATTCCTAGAAATGTTGTAGTATCCACAAGTTTTAACTCGAAATCCTTAATCATTACAGTAGTTTTCACTAGCTTAACGTTTTGCCTGGAGGACCGTATAGACTTAGTTTTTTGTTTATTTAGAAACAAATTGTTTACTTTAAATCAATGAACCACTTTCAAAACGCTGTTTACGACTGCGAAATTAGTGTGTTTGCGTTTTAGTCTAAATAATAGTGACGTATCATCTACAAACAACACAATCTCGTGATTGTTGTTGACAAGATGAGGTAAGTCGTTAATATAAACAAAAATGGGCCGAGAATAGAACCTTGTGAAACTCCCATTTCCACAGAACCCAAAGACCGCTTACTTTACTTTAATAAGAAACAAGAGGTTCGAGTGCTTAATTTTGATACCATAGTACTGTAATTCATTTCGTTTCATGCACAACACAATCAAAAGCTTAAGATAAATCGAAAAAGATACCTAAGGAATCGTTTGCATTTTCCCAGGCATCCAATATGTGTTTTACAAGCTCAACTCTATCATTAATTGTGGAGCGATCCCTTGTAAAACCAAATTGTCTATTGTGTAATAAATTATTATTATTAAAAAACTTTGTTATACATTATTTTTACAAAAAAAATTGCTGAATCCTGGTAGTATCGAAATAAGTTATAAAAGTATTATTTTAGTAGATTTCAGAAGATCAGGAAATACACTACTATTAACACATTGATTAAATGTAGCCACGTAGCCGAAAGAGATATATTTGTTGTAGTTATTAATACAGAATTTCCCCATAGCTCAGCTGTTTCTTTAACATTAATACTATTAAAAGCTTTAATAATTTCAAAGGGACAAACATTTTGGAACTTAAATTCACTGTTAATCTTACGGGGAGGAGGTGGCATGGTGAGGAGTTCAAAGATTTAGTAGTTTATTCAGGCATATTAGTAAAAAAGTTCTCAAATGCACCAGCAACCTCAGTGTTAGATGTGATAATTTTATTATTAATATTCAAATTAAATTCATTATCAAGGTATTGGTTATCGCAGTTTAAAAAAATAAAATCTGATTAAAAAAAACGTGTGTTAGAGTATTTCATTACATTTTAATGCCGAGTCATCTAGTAGATAATTTAAAATATGGTAAACACATGTTAAACAGTATTAAAATCATAATATAATTAATAATAATAATAACTTCACACATATGAATATGATATCGGCAGAATCTGTACTATGGTAACCAGTAGACATGGAACAAAATCACAGTAAACTGTGATTTATCATTTGATTTTTGCGTACGTAGGTAGGTTAGAGGCTATTTAGAAATAAATCTAGTATTTTAAAATGATTATGTAGGGAATGGTAGTTATGCAACGCGTTTGAGACTCCTGAGTTGCAGAAGTTCAGGGGCGGCGATGGTTACTTTCCATCAGGTGACACGTCTGCTCGTCTGCCCCATCTAACATAAAAAAAAGTAAAATTAATTAGTTACTAGATTAACTGTTAAATAGGCGAAACAGGGTCTTTATGCATCGTCTGAAAACAGGTTATTAGCAACAACTCGTGAATGATAAATCACCGTTCACTCTCATTTTGTGATTTTGTCCCATCTATAGTAACCAGACTGCTGATAAACATACTTTTATATTTTTAAATACATACATATAATAGATATATGTACATATAATTACATAAAATTGAAACCTTAAAACCCGACAAAAGTGATGGACCAGATGGTATCTCAAACGCAGCAATCAAAACAGGCAGGTTTTTATTAGCATCACCTATAACTATTTTATTTAATAAAATCCTAGATGAACGAAAAATTCCAAAAATATGGGCAGAATCATATATAATGTTGCTCTATAAAAAGGGGAATCCAGCTGACATTGGCAATTATAGACCTATTAGCCTTCAATCAAATTTTTACAAACTGTTTGCATCATGTCTAGAGAAACGTATTGCATTTTACACTGAAAAACAACAACCCCCAGAACAGGCAGGTTTTAGAAAAACTTTTCTACCACTGATCACATCCACACGCTAACACTCATCATAGAAAAATATGTAGAGCTAAAGAGACCCCTTTATTTAGCATTTATTGATTACGCCAAAGCTTTTGACTCCATCTCCCACAGCAGTATGTGGAGAGCCTTGCTTGAGTGTGGCGTACCATGAGAGACCATTTCACTTATAAAAGATATATATGAGAAAAGTACAAGTTGTGTAAAAATGGACAAATTCGGATCAGAAATGAATATAGGGGCGTTAGGCAGGGAGACCCCCTCTCGCCAAGAATCTTTATAAGTGTGCTCCAGAACATCATGAAGAACTTAAATTGGGATATAAAAGGTATCAATATAAAAGACGAATATCGAAGTCACCTACGATTTGCTGACGACATTGTACTGTTTTCAGAAACAGTATCGCAGCTCGAAAACATGGTAAACGAACTCAATGCTGTTAGCAAAGAAATAGGCCTAGAATTAAATACCGCAAAAACAAAAGTCATGACTAACTTTCAACCGAAGCCTATTAAAGTCAACAACACAGTACTTGAATATGTACAAGAGTACATTTATTTGGGTAGATTAATATCATTCGCAAGCACTAGACACCAGGACGAACTACACAGACGAATAAACTTTGCATGGAATAAATTTTGGAGCTACAAAGAAATACTAAAATCAAATCTCCGCATAAAATTAAAGAAATTGGTGCTAGACTCATGTATATTGCCATGTCTCACCTATGCCTGCCAAACCTGGATTTACAATATGCAAACGGAAAATAAACTTCAAGTATGTCAAAGGTCAATGGAACGCAGCATTTTAGGCATAAAAAGAAAAGACAAGAAAAAATGTATGGATATAAGAAAAACGACAAATGTCATAGATGCCTTAAAACATTGTAAAAAACAGAAGTGGAAATGGGCTGGCCATATAGCACGTCTGAACAAACAAAACTGGACTAAAAAAGTTACTGTTTGGACTGGACCATTCGGTAAGAGAAGCAAAGGAAGACCACAAAAAAGATGGATAGATGAGATAAAGAAGGTGGCGGGCATAGGTTTACTAAAGCAAAAGATAGAGAGTATTGGAGAAAATTGGAGGAGGCCTTTACTAGATGAGAGGTCCTTAATTAAAAAATATTTAAAAATAATTTCAATATATTTGTAATAATTTAAGAATCATCTAAACAAAAAACAAATTTATATAATATTTTTAGTTGAAATCACTTAAAGTTAAAAAGTATAATATAATTGTATACTTAATAATTGAATAATGTTGTTTTAAGGAAGTTTGTTAGTATTAAGGAAATAAAGAGGCTTTACATACATATAATAGAAAGATTACACCCAGACACAAAACAAACTCTCGACCTCTGGCTTTACAGTCTTGGTCACTAACCGCTAGATGAAGGGTCCCATCACGATGATCACTATTTGTACATAATAAACACAATACCTACTCTAACCAATCACCATAATACTCATACATACATGCATACATTTCACACTCATTACACAAGACTTCTAGAAATGCCCAGTCGACCTTTTCTGATTGCGTAGTCAGAACTCTTACAACATTAATTGTCAAACATACATATTTTATTGTTACGAGAAATTCAAGTCATTTTGTTTTTTTTTTACGTCCTACGCTAAGAGGTCGCTTTCATTTTTTTTATTTTTTCGCAAGGTCCCCCGAATTCACACTGCGCCTAACTATGTTCTACCGTATATATTTCAATGATCCATTGTAGACGTTATAAATTTTTAGATGGACACAAAAGTCACATCTTAACTTAGCCAAAGTTGAACACCTTGTCAAGGCGTGACCTACAAACGTAATTAAAGATTTGTATTGATGATGATTTGAGTTTTCGTATGAGTCTGTTATTTTATTATTCGATGTGTACATTATGGACTAATGTGCATATCCTATATAGATAATTCTTACAACTAAACCACTGACTTAAATGGTCGAAACCGTAAATCACGTCCTTGTGACATGTCAAATATTTTATTTTTCATTACAATATTATAAATATTGTTGTTTGTATGCGAAAAGATGACTTTAATTTATAGATAAATGAGAAGAACATAAAAACAGTTTTAAATCTTGTTTGTATTTCCTTTTGACAGTATTTACAAATCTTGGTGGAAAAGGAATCACGATGTCAATTACAAGGAGCTGGAACGCGATAAGCAAGCGTCAGTCAGTGACATGACGACATGACAGACTCAGAGAGATTGGGAGTTTAGTTGATGTTTGGCCGTTCGTGTTATTAGATTGGCTTACCCAGAAAAGTTTTCAATATTTTTAAACAAAACAAATTTCAATTCGAATATGATTTCATTTATAAAGATTAATATACTTGTAGTCGTACTACCGTTACACTTTTTAGAAGAAATTAGTGGTGATAAAGCATTAAAATTGTTTCTAAGGTGTTGACTGCATAACTTACTCCAAAACATTTTTATCATTTGACGTGTTTCTTTATTTATATAATAGAAGACTGACGTGTGAGCCGCTTTATTCAAATGAATTTTTAAATTACATAAGTACAAAGACAATTGTAATTCCGTGGTGGTGTTGAGACTTGAAAACTGTCAGTGGAAACATGAATCTTGTGTTGAGGATGTTTAGGACGAACTGTAGTTATTTTCTGATAGTGTTATCGCATTTGCGGTGCAGTACTTGAAAACTGTATAAAGTGTGTTAGAGACTGGTGTGAAGAATGAAGGAACAGACGTGAAAGTTAGGCAGACACCGTGGAGCACTTGGTGGGAGGCGGTGGTGCGGGCGGCTTGCTGCCCAGCGCCTCGCCCGCCCAGCATCCGCCTAACATGTTGCAGCCTATGGAGGAAATGATTCTTCCCCCCAAAAGACAAGCTGTTGTTGATCGCTTAAGGTAATTATATGTTTCTTATCTTGTATTTCATGACTAGAAGAGTGTTAGCCTAACAACAAACAGTGCATAGCAATAGACAAGTAATAAGTGAAGTGGATATTCCTTTGGAAGTTTCTTCAAACTAGTATCAGTGTGAAGATTCAAACCACTACCAACTACAAAAAAAATCTATTAGTTGATTTACTAATTTTGGATAACTAGTATTAGTGATAGTTTAATTGCCAATTCCAATAAATTATTCTTAATTAAATATTGCAGTAAATGTCTTATACCATCTGCTGCTATTATTGCAGTAATGCTGCTGCTATCTATACCAATATTACAAGGAGGGAAAATTTGTTTCTATGTAGGGTGTAATCTTTGAAACTACTTAACCAATTCTAGAAATGATTTCATTAATGTATAGCTGCATTATTTAGTGCAATAGGCTTTGAATTATACTCATATAGTCCATATTAGCAAGCAGAGCCGCTAACGATAGCTAGTTACTAATTAATTTGTGTGTCTGTATAAGGAGGGTAGTCCATTTAACAACTGAATTTTTTAAAACAATTTTTAGCCATTAGATCTTTAATATATAAGTTGAAGGTAGATAGAAGGTATCATAGACTAGATATTCACTTTTCTGCTCCCACCTAGGGACATTGCATGATATTACAATGCGAATACATAAACAATTATACAAATGTCCAATTTGGTTTCAAAAGTTAAAATGTGGTGAGCAAATGAAGAAAAAACCTCTTCATCTTTATGGTATTAGTATAGAAAATTGTTTAAAGTGTATGGAATCTGGATATGCCACTAGTTCATGTGAATATTACTAAATTTATTATAAATTAAAATCTGATTTTTATTAGTTACTAGCAGATTGAACAGATGTTCTCTCGTTCATTTTGCATGTTGTTGAAAATAATTCAAATTGACAAAAAGAAAGCTATCTACAGAAAAGGCTTTCAGTTGTTCCCAAATTATCTAATGATCTAATTGATCCATGTCTATGATGATGGGATGACATACAATTTGTAAGGTTTTTTTTTAAATCATTGTTTTGGTACTAAAAAGGCTTGTGTAGTGCAACTCTATGTAAAAAATAATTACACCTATACTAGAGTATATTTCTTATTTCCTATATATATTGATTTACTATAGATAAGTATTGTATGATAAATTTATAGTTCACATTTGAATATTTACAACAGATTTAGAATTTATGCTACAATGTAAAAAAAAAATATAATTGTACTTATCCTAAGGGAGTAGTTGATTTCTAAGACAGGAACACATTAAGGTAACACATTCCTCTAAGCTTAGTTCAAAAGATGTTTGTCATGCAGCTATTGTTTTTGAGCTTAAAATATGTAAAAATTTTGTTCATATTCATTGTTATACATCATTGGAAAGTTATACAATAATCAGAGATTAATGAGCTATTAGTGCTCTACTGTTTAAATAAACTTATTTAAATGAGTATTTAAATGAGAATGTGTTGAGCCCATAAATTTTTAAACATAAATATGTAGTTATAAACATCATTTTTTTTGGCAAAATAGACATAAAAGAAACAATTATTAACTTAATTAAGACATAAGTACTACTCACTCACACACAGATACAGGATATATTCCTAGTTTAAAAGGACAGCTCCCGCAGCTGTCCTTTTAAAAAAGAAAATGAAAGTGATGTTCTGCATGGTTAAAAATGTATATCTGTAGATATGGATATGATACTCCTATTGTGGTTCAGGTCTAAATTATGTCCTATCATAATATACTTATGATATGACATAATGGTACACGTAAATCTCTGTATGGTATAATAATGGTACACACATTGTGGTTGTATTGATGACAAATTAGGAACAAAACCAATGCGAAAAATAATTCTCACAAAAAACAGGTTGTATATTATTATCATTTCAAAATTTGAGCTCGATCTGTGCACAAGTTTTTGAGTTGAACCATACACAAACCAACTTAACATTTTTATATACAATAGTTTACTGCAACACACATGAAGAAGATAATCAAATAGAATCTTATACTGTTATTAATATTGGAGTTACTCACAACATTATACATTTCAATATTTAATTTTAGCAAACTAAATTTATAATTTTAAATATAACATAATGGATCCATTTGAGATTCGCTATAAAGTAATGAATAAGGATATAGATTTTTTCACCCTCAAATACCTGCAGATATGAATATCTAGCACGTCACTAGTTTATATACAACTAGCTGACCTGCGCAACTTTGTCTGCGTCTCTCAAAACTAATAATTATCCCTATTTTTGTAAAAACAAAATCAAAACTTATTATCTAACACTGAAAGAATTTTAAAAATCGGATCAGTATTTCTTAAGATTATAGCACGTTCAGCCAAACAAACAAACTCTTCAGCTTTGTAATTTACTATATATAAAACACCTTCCTAGAACAAATTTGATTACCGTAAAAAAGTAGTGAGCCAACTAAAGATAGACATATGCTGTAGAGGACTTTTTTAGAACTTATTAAGAGGAACAACTCTGTCATACATGATTTTTGCTAAACTTTTTGTTGACTCTTCAGCTTTATAATATTCGTATAGCTTATCTTCCGCATAAAGAATATATATTGCAGATTCCATAATTTACGGGTAAACCTTTATATTTGCTTTACTTACATTCATGTATGAAAATTCACTCTAAGCATCAGAATTTTTAAGTCCTAAAAAAGTTGCTGCATTAACATTGCTACAGATATTCATACATACAAGATATACTCATAAATCTTACAGTGAGTACTTTAAAATTTAGAGGACAATAAAATTCCTATGTTAAAATAATGATGATCACAGTAATTTTAATATATTTATACTAACACCTACATCAAAAATTATCTGCAAGCTAATTTTTGTTGGTGACTGTAAAGTTAGTTTAGAAGAAAATATTTAATAAAGAAATGTATTTAGATAATATTTTCCTCCAGTCTTTACAGACAGCTTTAAACTGATTATACAACCTTAACTCAAGTACTCATAAAATATAATGGTATATTTGTGGCATAGCTAAAACATTCATTTCAAACCAGTTGACTCTTGGGGCTTAACTGTGAAATTATTGTTTACAATGGAAAAGTTCTAACTTAATACTTAATAATAAGACTTAATCTACTGCATGCCTCATTGATAACGAAGTTGCTATACACATACAAAATAATTTAAATTATAACTACTTTTTTCAGCATAATCTGTAACTTGCATTTCCAAAGTTTTGTAATTTACAATATTCTACTGATTTTTGAATACAATTATCATGCGCTCAATGGGAATCGAACCCCCTACACCCAAGGTTGTATCGCTCCGACGCGACGCGGCCCATCAGTTATTGTGTACCTAATAAACTAATAAGTTGCCAGAGATCGCCTATTTATTTCGATCATCAATTTAGTTTATTTCGTTGGTCTGTGTAACTGAAACTGTCATTGTATAGACTTACGTACCATGACATGACAGGATAACATACCATATTTATACTGGACGCGTGGAGTTTGATGTAACCCATTTCATGTACAATGTTTAAATTTTTAGATATCTACACTTTTATACATATAATACTCGTATACTAGCGATCCGCCCCGGCTCCGCTCGGGTGCCATGTAGATACTGTAGATCTACTAATATTACTAATGTGGTGTAATGTGATGTCAGCGTGGAGTAATTGGTGCTATTATTATGATTAGACTACCCTACAGAATATCTTTACATAAAAATGTTTTTTTAGTCCGCTGTGCTCCTGCCGGCTGCTACCGTCTGGTAGGGATGTACGGCCCGACGATGGCCACTTTCCCCCCCATTTTAAATCTCTGGTAAATCCGTTGCCTAGTTTAAAAAATCTAAGAGTACTAGAAAAAAAGCTTCTTTATTTTATAGTGTGTAAAGAAGTATTCCTAATTTCACATTCTTCTTTCAGCTACATCGTCTTAAAGATGCGTGTCTTCTCGTATATATTATGTGCATTACGTTTTACTATCTGATCCGCTCAACTTCGTCTGCGTCTCAAAAAAAAAACCCCGTTTTGTAACACTCCTATTGCTCGTAGCGTAATAGCGTTATATAGCCATTTTCGATAAATGGGTTATCAACACTAAAAGTTTTTTCAATTCGAGTTCCTAAGATTAGCGCGTTCAACCAAACTCTTCAGCTTAAAAATATTAGCAAATAGCAGAAAATAGCGATTTAAAATTCATCTTTTTAAAGTTTAGTGGCGGTAGGTAGGTATAAAATAACCGCTAACTTGTTGGTAAAGTAAGGCATAACTTTAGTTAAAACACTCGTATTGTATTTGCGATAAGCCTAGATTAAGGAATTTCACACTAGCATCGACCAATGCAATAAGTAGGATCGCGTTTTGTGTAAGTCTATGTTTAAAGAGGTTACTGCATCGCGGTTTGCACTCAGTGAAATTATGTCGGGGATCTTGGTGTATCTAACGGTACTGGCTAGCCAGCTAGTTGGCGGTGCATAAACGCCGTTCTGTGTTTTATTTACATTGCAGCTAACTTGTAACTTGATACATGAACGCATACTGAGATTACTTAGTTACAATTTTAGATATCCTTAAATAGATTCCTGCAGAAGTGCAATAATGTACTAACCGAGTTTCTTGCTTGCAGTCGATATGCGTTAGGGTTTTCACATTCATAGAATATTTAAGAATAAGAACTAATTCTTTGCATATATAACAGTTAAGTAAAGGTGATCAAATGTTACTATCCTACCAAAGAATATGTACTATCCTCGTTAGCATTTTAATACTATTTTATTATAGTTTGGTATAAATATTTAATAATGTGTATCTAAACATACTCCTTTCTAAGGAGAGGCTAATGTCCAACAGTGGACTATTAAAGGCTGTTGATCATGATGATCTAAGAATATGATCGAGTGATTACACATGTAGGTACATACACTTATTTACTTAACAAAGGTTAATGCCAGTACAAAGACAAATCAAT